TATTAATAAATAATCGATCAAGTTATAATTAACCCGCTTTTTAATAGTACCTTTTTTTTCTCGTAAAATTTACACATCGATTTTATTACAAACAATTTTTCCCTTTGTCACAAACACAAAAACAAAAAAATTAGAAAAATTAACTTCGATAAAACACAACCTTTCCACACACTTCATTCCTAAAAAGATAACTAAAACAATTTCAACAATGCCGGGTACCTTTTTATATACGGTATTTCAGTTTGGTATTTGTAAGTTTTTTAAAAAAAATACAAAAAAAAAGTCGTTAAACAAAACGTCGCAAATCGATTATTGAGAAATCTTTGAGCTTTTTTTGTTTCCACTAACCATCGTTTACGTCAATAAGAAATAATAAAAAAAAAACAAATCTTTCCGAAGAAAACCACTTAAAAAATCGATTTCGATATATTTTGAATGCGTCAATTACCTGCTTAGAAGACATGAATGCGATGATTAACACGATATTGTACTTTTTTTTTTGTTTAAAACGTAGGAGAGCAACTAAAACTGTCTAAACACCTTCACATAAACACGGCTGCAATAAAAAAATTGGTTATAAAAACCGACAGCTATTTTACTTCCAGATAAAATTATTTATTTTATTTATCTTGTGTAAAGTTTGTGACAAACTAAAAATTTGTTTTTCTGCAATCAATTTTAAAATGACATCAAAATTTCAATTAAAATAATATTTTTAACGATGATTTCTTAATTCTTGTATTATCCCGACTTCCTTTATTGGATGTTTATAGATTGAACATCGACCTCGGGGCATTCCTCGAATTAGTCTACTAAGGACCACTTTTACCAACCACCTGATAAACTATCTAAGGGATAGTTACCATAGGTACAGCGGTTTAAGCGCTCTCATTGGCTAACATCTGGATTTATTCATCGGTTAAATTCATCAAGAGTTGGTAACAGTGGGTCCCCTTCTTAGCCAATGGGAGCGCTTAAAACTGCTGTAACCATGGTAACTATCCGCTAAATAGTTTATGGATGATAAGGTTGTCACTTAATGCGTAAAAGTTTATGGACATATAGTTTGAATAAAAAACAACTTTGAAAACAGACGTGTTAAGGCACCCGGCATAAACATACTGATAGTGGAGATATAGAAAACAGATGAATTCCCCGACAAATTGCGTACCAGCACCATTTGCGCCTTATACATATAAAAAAGGAGATAAACTCAAGTGTGACGATTATAGGGGAATAAAGCTACTTAGCACGGCATATAAAGTACCAGTACAATTATCAGAAACTAATTATTAAAATACACCTAAAACGTCATCGGCGAGTTTCAGACCAGAAAAGTCACAAACTGCCCAAGTCTTTATCATCAAACAACTCTATGAAAAGTTCTGGAAGTTTAACATTGATATCTACCAGCTGTTCATAGACCTCAAACAAGCATACGACAACGTCGACAGAAACAAACAGAAAGAAGACGAAGAGTAAGATGGGGAGACGACGTGACCAAGGATGCTCTTTCTTGGGATGAGAAGATGAATGAGAGTGGCCAGAGATAGAGAGAGTTTAAGGCGAAGTATCGAAGAGGTCAAGGCTCGATTTGGGCTATATACCGCCATTGAAGAAGAAGAAGAAGTAATAAAATGGACTTTCAAATAAATCATGGCGTATAACTAAGACATGTTAAGGCAAATTCTTCATTTGTTTTTACATTTGTGAAACTTCCACCTATATTTACTATGTATATTATTAATAGATCATTGTGCTAACGGTAACTTTGTAGAAAACATTGGCTCTATACTGAAAAGATTTCCTTCGCGTGAGTTGTCTCAGGTGGTGTCAATAAGGCCTTGTACATAGTTGTATGAAGCATTAAATCAACTCTATAAAGTCACAAAGCACGTGCTTGCGGGCAAATGAAACCTTACACATTTGCTGACATCTTCTTTGGTGCTAAACCATTTCCTTGAACTTGGTTACAATTACACAAAGTGTGCAAAAACTACTCCCTCAGACGACCCAGTACGTGTGAATAAATTCTAATTGTTTCTTTCAATTCCTCAATGATCTCCAGTGGTTCTACGTACACATCAGATTTTAAATATCCCCATAAAAAGTATCCACCATCAATTAACTTACGTTGGTATTAAGATACATTCTTGCCATATCCATATAATGTGGTGTTCCATCCTGCTGCAAGCCAATATTCATTTGAAACTTTCCTGGATTTTGTTGTGCTATCCGTGATTAGATTAGTAGCAATCTTAGTTGCAACAATGACACTTGCTAATCGATGGAAGATCACTCATGCTCGATTAACTGTAAAATAATAAAGTTGGTCCTCTCTTCTTGCCATAATCATGTAATTTTTGCTTCCAAGGTAAAATATAACCAAGTATAATCATAGACAAAGATTTGATAGAGAATTGCCATTGCACTCGCCCAATGTTGTAGAGAAATTTGGTGTACTACTTGATATCAAATGCAACGATTGTATTCTGCTCATAACTTGTGCAGTAAGATCAAGAAATCTTCGTACATTAAAACATAGAGGTGGATATATCTGTATCTCAGAATGGGAGAATTATCTGCAATGAGATATTTGTTATAAAAATTCTAGTTTTTGCATAATTTTGATCTTTCATGATTTGAATTACAGATCAAAAAAGTGTTTAAGTCTCGCGACCATAAAATGCCAAAAATCCCTTGCACTTTAGTTATTTAAAACCAAGGTTAAGGACCAAAATAAAAAAAATATTTGGAATGTTGTATTTACGTCAATGCAATAAATTTTGTTGATGGTTAGCTTGAGAATGAGCTAACAGAAATATTTTTCTAACAAAGCAATTAATTATAGCACTAAATTCTTCATATATTAATAATCCTAATTGTAACAATTATTTTTTCCCTTTAATTGTTTACTTCAAAATTTGAATCTTTTAATAACAAAGTGCTTTTTTATCATTTTTTATTATATTACACAATTCGCCAAGGTAAATAAACTTGTAACTATTTCAAAAACATCAAAAAAAGGGTATTTATTAGTTTCACAAATATTTATATAAATTAAATAACTATTCTTGATGTGATAATTAATATTTTTCAATTATTTTCAATTATCACTCAAGTTAGTTAGGATAATAACATAATCGACATCCTTCTCGTAAAAGAAAACAAACCTTTAACGTGTTTTTCTTGTAAAAAAAAGTATTACGAATCCAATAACGTATATAATAGCATAACGACATAGCTGTGATTCACACTACTTCTTCAAGTCATTTTGCACGTAAATTCTACGATACCAACAATTACTGTTATATCCTGATTTCATTCAATAAAGCAATAAACAACGGCGAGTCCAAGGTGCATTTCAAAACGTAAGGCAAAGAAATGCGAATCAATATGAATATACTTAATGAATATTCAATAGGTTAGTTACGTAAATTACAACATTGTGCTATTATATACAGAGTGGTTCTATTATTCACCTTCAATGTTGTTTAAATCCCAAATAAGAAGTTTTTATCAAAAAATTTCATAAAATATTAACATTATGTAGTATTCTCTGTATAAACAAACTGTTTTTTATAATTAAATTTTTTATAACAACATGTTATCTGGTTATGTTGACACTTTGAACGTCTGCATCGGACGGAATTCTCGTGTAGACTTTGTACACTTATTATCATAAACAAAGATGACTTCAAAGAAATTTATAAGCATAAATAATAAATGAACTCCTGATGCGGAACCATGTGATTCTTGTTATTGGTTCTTGTTTTCCCATTCTGTACGTTCGTTGTTCATTCACATATCGGTTCTTATGACGTAAAGAAAACGACCACGCGGGTTCCACGTTTTCCAACGAACGTTCAACTGCACATTTATAAAACGAACCCGAACCACGTGGAGTTTATTTTTTTTTTAAACTTAAGGTATTCGTAACTATTATATACGCGAAACTAATTAAAACTATTTCAAAGTTTATTTATAACGATTAGAGCCGATTGAGTAATAGTGAAAGAACCCGGGGAAAGGTTTTTGATGAATTCATTTAAATAAATAAATAATGATTAAAAAATTTGCATACCCGAAATAATCTTAATTTCAATAATGATAACTTTACACTAAATTCACGCATCTTTCCACTCACAAAATTATATCTGTTTCTGGAGATCTTTTCGAGACATTTGGTGGGTTTTCAAAAGAAGGGTCTTTTATGTAAACACAAACAGGTGGAGGAACGAACTTTTTTTGGTGTACGTGATTTTAGACACGAACCCAAACTAAAATCTTTCATATCATTCCATCTTTGTCTTCCGGGGATGACCGGAAGTTTTTTATCAACACTCAATGGAATCTACGTTATTATTAGTCACTTTTTTTCATATTAAATATTAGTTTATCTACGACTGCTTGGATAAGTCATCATTACCACACTCATTTGAGGTGATTTGAGTTACGTAATGAAGTTCATTACCGCACTGGCTTCATTACGTAACGCATTTTTAGCCCAATCAGAATAAACTTAATTTATTGAAACGAGCAACAATACAAAAGAAAAAGTGCTACCTATTTAAAGAGAAACAATAGTATTTAGTATAAACATTAATTGTTATGTTTTTACATTTCGAAACACTTATTCCAGATGAGTAAACATGTCATTGAAAGTGGCATTAATTCAAAATTGTCAACAATCATTTCAAAATATTTTTATAAATGTCAAAATACATAGATCTTTTTAAAGAAATTGATTTTTATGTAATTTTTAGCAGCGGTAGATAAAATGTTGTATATCACATGTTGGCTAGAGCATAATTACAGTACTCGTGTGATTACACGACTCAGTCTATGACCTCGTCGTGCAATTCTCCACACTCGTACAGTAATTATGCTTCTAGCCCACTTGTAATATATATAACTATTAAAAGTTTATTTTTTGATGAAGAAGGGATTATCCAAAAAAAAATAAAATATTTTGAGGAAAATTTTTTTCAAAAAAAAAGGAGACTTTACAAGGTATACATACAAAAGAATAAGATTTTTCTCAACAATTTCATTTTGGATTAACCTTATAATAACTTAAAAACATCTAACAACAACAACAGAACACAAATTTGTGAGAAAATGTTGGTCAATCTAATGTCCTCCCTGCTTTTCTTCGTGGTGGCTTCCCCATTTCTTATGACCCTCATCACCTCCCTTCTTTCCATATTTGGAACCATGCTCATAATGTTCCTCGTGATCATCACCCTTCTTGTGGCCACCTTCATCATGGAAATGTCCTCCCTTTTCATGGTGACCTTTCTTGCCGTAGTGATCTTCATGATGTCCGCTCTTGTGGTGTCCTCCTTTTTCGTGACCTCCCTTTTTGTATCCGTCTTCGTGGTGGAATCCTCCGTATTTTTCGTGTTCTCCTTCGTCATGGTCTTCATCGAAGAAGTGTTTGTCTTTTTTGTATTCTTCTTTTTTGTGAACGTCGTGTCCGCCGTGGGTGCTGTGACCCTTCTTGTAATGGCCTTTTTCCCCGAATTCGCTTCCTTTTTCGCCTTTCTCTCCTTTTTCATGGTGAGCATGATAACCATCATCGTGGTGATGATTTTTTTTGTGTCCGCCATCTTCACCATACGAACCACTATGGCCTTCTTTGTCGTGATGTCCTTTTTCGCCTTTCTCGTAATCATGGAATCCTTTATAACCTTTCTCACCTTTATCACCTTTGCTGCTATGGTGATCCGAATGTTGATCACTACCGCCGCCCTTTTTCCATTCTTCGTGGTGACCGGAAGCGGCTGTTTCCAAATCGTAAGAGACACTCTTCGATTCAACGTAAATGACGAGAAGGGCCACGGCAATGGCTACCAAACTGTACCGTGTCAACATTCTGATTCTGAGTAATTCCCAAAGACAACTGACAGCTGTGTGCGAGCAACGACCAATTTATACTTTGGTTCAATTCACGTTTTTTGTCATAGTTAATCAGGTGTGACTGTTTTGTCGATGGTTTAGGTGTTACATTGGCGCACTTTCACCGTTGTTATTGCACGCGCATTAAACGAGCATTTTATTAAATTATTACTGTAATAATGAATTAAAAAAGCGATTATTTAATTAGCGATGTGATGAGTTTTACACGTGCTCTCGTGTAATTTAAGATCCGTGTTTTAGATTTTAGTATTAATTACATATACAAAGCACATGTGCGTAACTTAGTTATTTATTCGTTGGTATTCGGAATTCCAATTCGTAACGAATTGGAGCGTATCTAATTTTGTAATGATCAAGTAAATTACAGTTTAGCGTGTATCTCAAATATAATATGTAAAACTAACTCAAAATTAAAGTAATGAATAGTTTTTTCTTTACTTATGCGTCAATTTCGTAATAGATAAGTGCGCTTGTTTTTTTTGTTGCAACCGCAAAGTTTTTTTTTCTTAGTTTTTATCTGATTTCATGCTTTGGTAACGTAATCTTATTACCGGTGAGATTTTTACGGACTAATGTCACTTATTTCGCGGAAAAGTCTTATCTAATAATATATTTATTACCGCCAACAATCACCGATCGTAACTAAGATATTTTTTTAATTAAAAAGTAAGCGAAATCACGTTATTTGAATTGCGTGTTATTTGAATTTAACTTATTCAAGATTATGAAAATTTGTGGTCCCTTGCAAAATGATTAGATTAGAAAGGGAATGTTTATCGTTGGAAATTTTGTAAACAAATGTATTGCTAAATATTTGAAATTATTAAATTATCATAAACAATTTTTAGTAAAATCTTCTTATCTATAACTTATAATCAAATCTGTTACATCAAATATTGTCAATAAAGCAAAATCACTTAGCAAATTTCCTGGCAGGAAGAGTAATTCTAGTTAATAAAAAGGTTGCAAAAACTTACGATTTTGTTTGCGGACAAGTGCAAAATGCTTTATATGTTATAAGAAACAGCAAACGTGAAACGTAAAATTTGGGCAGTAAATAATGCTTATAGCAATTTAGCAGACATTATCTTATTAATAGCATAAAGTCAGAAAGGACAAAACACTTACACAGATAGAGCCAAAGAGATTAGAAAAAGTGTTTTGCTATTATAGAATATTTTGTAGGAAATAAGTATATTTACAAAGAAGCATCACACAACAACAAAGCCAAAATCATTGGCATTTATAGAAGAACAAATAAAAGAACAGTAAAGCACAAAAGTTTGTAAAGAAAGGCTGATAAAGAATGCAGCCAGAAAGATATACAGAACGAGAAGAGCTTTTGGCACGAACAAAGTAGTGTGAATTTCTGAAAATGTGAACATTATCGCGAAAGTTTTTGTAAAACACTCAACAAGTCTAAAAACACCGACAATGTTCAAGTTTGTGCAAAAAGGTCAGGTTACTGACTGATAGAAAACATTGGGAGATGTGTTTGAAAGAATTCTGACGGACAATTTCTGTTGAGGAACAAGAACGTTGTCGGAGATATTTTTGCGAAGTGACATAAGCACTTAAACTGAGAAAAATAAGAATACCAAAACTGGTATAGATATTTTTGTAACAATGATAAAAGACTGAGAATCATAATTAATTGATACGACATGTACATTATAAAAGATTTTTTTTAAGAAAGTCAAAAACCTTAATATTGAAAAAACTTGATGCAACAAGGCAATACCGAGATTTATTACTACATTGTTGTAGAAAGAGAAGAATGCCAAATCTGGTACAGAAATGTTTGCAAAAAGGATAAAATACTGAGACTGATAATTAATTGATACTGATTAATACAGGGTGGTCAAATAAGCGTGTAAAGTACTGTATCTCGGAAACTACTACTTGTAGTCCAGTACATTTTGCTATAAATGTAAGAAACCACTTAAACGCAGTGTTTTAACAGCGATGGATCGGAAGAGGAAGCCTATTTCCATAGCCAGTCAGATCCCCACACATAACTTTTTTGGATTTTTATTTATGGGGGCGGTTCATGGTGTTTCAAACTCAACCTACAACCAGACAAGAATATTAAATTATTTACCGCAACTCTCCACAATGAGTAGTTTCCGAGATTTGCATGCTTATTGGGCCACCCTGTACAATAGAAAAGATGTTTTTGTAGAAAGTCAAAAACCTTAATATTGACAAAATTTTATGTAACAAGGCCCTACAGGGAAATATAAAAAATGCAGGTTGAAATCTAACAGTTGGAAAAACGCTGATAGAAATTACTACAGAAAAATATATATACTAGCAGAGATGTGTTTGTAGAAAGTAAAAAACTCAAATATTGACACAAAAGTTTTTGCAAAAAGGCCATACTTACACTAATAAAGGATGTTGGTAGAAATGTTTGCAGAAAGAAGAAGTAAATAGTTGGCACAATTTAAACCTCTGAAATGTCTGTGGAAAAATAGAAACATTGAGACGGAAATTTCTGCAAAGAGTCAAAAACACTGCCATTAAGATTTTCTCTAAAACAGTTAGAACATTGACACTGACAATGAAGTTTGTGCAAAAAAGCTAGGTAATTGGTCGATAGAAAACATTAGCAGAAGTATAAATAGTAGTACAAATGACACTCTGTAAGTGCCCAAAGAAAAAAGACTGAGATATCTTTTTGCAAAATGATGACAACACTCCCGCTAACAGAAAGTGTCTAGAGAAAGAGTAGAATAGTATAGAAACTTTTTCAAACAGGACAGCAACAATGATAATTGATATTGACAGAAGTGTTGTCAAGAAGAGAGGAACAGTTGTTACTAACAAAAATCCTGATAGAAATAACTATCTTAACAGGAAAATAAGTAAATTAGCAAAGATGTTTTTGCAGAAAGACAAACACCAATATAAGCTTATTAACACAAGCCCGTTGACAGTTACTGACTGGTTTAAATCTAGAAATCTATTTATGTGAGTACGTTATTGTGAGTGGAAACCTATTGTCACAGAAGTGTTTTGAAAAAGGCTAAAATACCAGCTGTGATTGAAGTCGTAATGGCGTTCTTCTCCGTTTTGTGATACAGCATCCAATATACTCAAATTGCCTCATCATTGAAAAAGCTTATTAAAGTTAAGGAAACCTCCACCTATTATTCTTTAGAACATAGTCAAGATTCCTTTGCAATACTATCAAATAGAAATTCCTTTTTTAATTTTACTTGTGCTAAAAATTTTTTACTCTTAAGACGGTTGAAACTCACAACATTGTATTCGAATCGAAACGACGACCTTTTCATCTATAAGAACTTGGGTTGCGAAATACAACCACATCCGCAGGGAAAATTGTAGCGTTGAAAAACTACCAGTAAACTTATTGCGGAGTGAAAGTAGCGTAAAAACCATATTCATTGTTAATACCATATTTCTGTTTTTTGTGTAGCCAGGTTTAGCTATTTTAGGAGTAATAAATCGCTTTCTCCATATACAGGAAATCCAAGTTTATCATGAAACTAATTAATCAGCAAAAAACGTGGACAGATCAATTAAGTTATTGTAAATATTTAGCAATCAATTATTCTTTTAAAAGTTGAATAACCCACATTACTTTTGTCGCCATCTCTCGGCTAAGTTCTGAAATACAGCAATATAGTTAGCCAAGAATGACTGTAGCGAGGTATTTAAATAGTTGATTAAAATGTAGATGGAGCTAGGTTACAAAATTCATAACTTTGTTTTGTATACATTGTATAAAAAAATCAGAATTGATCTGTTGACGAGAAAATTTTCTCTTTTTTATATTATTAAAAATGATTGAAAATAAAATTGGTTAAAATAAGTGATAATTACAAAATTGAGTTATCAAGTTTTTATAAAAATAATTTAATTAATAAAATCATACCTTTCTCGTGGAAAATTCCTCGTTCTTTTTAGATCTTCTCAAATAGGTATCGGTTATTCCCAGCAAACAATCATCGCATTTGCAAAATTCACTCGAAGTCGATTGAGCACTTCCAATAGAACCCGTTGAATCAACACTATTCGTTCTAACAAATTGCTTCGGCAATTTTTGATTCAAACCGTCCATTTTCGCCACCAATAAAGTTTCCATCAAAGATTTTGATCTTTGAATGGTCGTGGGCACATTAGACGCCGCGTTTTGTTGATTTTGAGAGGAGAATCCGCAGTTTGACGAATGCATTTTTAAGGTCGATCACAAAAAAGTTTCTTTTTTTTTTAATCACATTGTTTCACGATTCTAAAACGAACAATAAAAGCTCGGATTCGAAATCAGTTCTCGGTAAGCTTGATCGGCAAAAACTAAAAAACGAAACTTGATTGACTTTTTGTGGACATGCTACCTAGTGAATGGTTGTGCATTTATTCATGAAATGACCTGAGGCAAGTCGTGTTATGAATGGTACTTGTCGATAGTTACCGGAAATGTCAATTAGATTTGGAATTTCGCATGATATATGATAAGAGTGGTTTCAAAAAGAAATAATTAATTTGAAATTAATCGTAATCATGTACAGTGGAGGACAAAAGTTTATATACAGCATTGAATTACGAGGTTTCGACACTCTACTGTATCGCTCTGTTTTACAAAAAATTTAATGCTGTATGTAGACTTTTGTTCATCACTGTATGTTATATAACTGTGGGATTAAATTCGGTGACGGAGTAAAATTATGACGATAATGTGACGACAAGTAAATAAACAAATTTCGGCAAAAACATCAACGACGACAGACTTATTGAGGCGCTGAGTTTAAATTAAGATATAACAAGTTTTAATAAAGACATATCACACATTAATGTATATTCAGTAATTAAAAAAAAATGGTTAAAACCGCAAATGTATTTGAAAAACATCATTAAACATTTGTTGTTGAGCAAGTATACAGGTCAACTAAATCGATTAACTTTTTGTGTAACCACAAGACTAATAAATCTAGTTCGGAATCTGATAATACCTCCTATATATGTTTTTATAGTTCGAACTACCATTAATCCCGACAACACAGAGGCATATCGCGTTCTTTCCCTTCGTTTACAAAATAAGCAACACAGCTTCGTTACGCCATCTCTAAACCGACCCGCTTTTTAATTGTTGAACAACTCTCCATAACAGATTAAGTAATAGTATTTTAATTATCTGACGTTCGTCTTGCTAATGAACGAGTGGCACTTTAATCTATTTAATTAGGGCGACTGTCATCTTGTAATTTCTAATTTAACCATTTTGTAAATTCTCTTTTTATTCGCGTCCATTCTTTGTAATGATTTTTTATAATGACTCTTTATAAAAATTCTTTATAATAAAAACATGCTCAATCATCGACGATAATAAGTAAAAAAAATGCATTAGCCAGACGATTAGTTTAAATTAAGTATCAATTTCAAATCAATGAAACCAATCGACCTTTTTTAACGGCAATTTACATGCCTTTTATCGTTCTTTATAATAATCTTTTATTGCTTAACATCCGGTCGAATTTACCGCGAAAAATGTTTTGAAAATAAATAGCACGTTTCGACATTGTCATAACGCGACCATAATAGCATATATGAAATGTACAATTTCAACGAAAAATGCACATATAATTGAAGCACGTGGAAGT